GAGAAATAGGAATGCTTTTACACTGGTGGTAGGAGTCTAATTAGTTCAACCATTGTGAAAGACAGCATGGCGATTCCTCAAGGATCTAGAACAGGAAATATCATTTGACTCAGCAATCCCATTACTGGGTATATGTCCAATGGATTATAAATCATTCTACTATAAAGACACACACACCTATATGTTTATTGCAGCAGTGTTCACACTAGCAAAGACTTGGAACCAACCCAAATGCCCATCAGTGATAGGCTGGATAAAGAAAACATGGCACATATGCTCCATGGAATACTATGCAGCCATAAAAAAAGATGAATTCATGTGCTTTGCAGGGACATGGATGAAGCTAGAAAATCATTCTCAGCAAACTAACACAATTACGGAAAACCAAACACTGCATGTTCTCACTCATAAGTGGGAGTTGAACAATGAGAACACATGGACACAGGGAGGGAAACATCACACACCCATGCCTGTCAGGGGGTAGGAAGCTAGGGGAGGGATAGCATTAGGAGAAATACCAAATATAGATAACAGGTTGACAGGTGCAGCAAACCACCATGGCACATGTATACCAATGTAATAAATCTGCACATTCTGCATATGTGTCCCAGAACTTAAAGTATAATCAAAAATAAATTAAATAAAATAAAAAATAATAATTTGTTAAGTGTTGGATAAATGCCATCTCCCATGGAGGAGTTTCCTAAGTAAGAAAAATCAAACATGCTCCAAGATAAGAGACATGAAACCAGAAAATAAGTCACAATGGGCCTTATTAGTTTTTTAAATGATCGTTCATAAAGCTTTTCTTCTATGATCAAGAACAATACAAAGATATCCATTCTCAACACTTCTATTCAGTGTTACACTGAAAGTTCTAGCTGGAACAATCAGAGAAGAAAAAGAAATAAAAGGCATCCAAATAAGACAGGATGAAGGGAAATAGTCTTTGTTTGCTAATAACATAATTGTATATGTAGAAAACCCTCATAACATCACCAAAAAAAGAATAGTTAAAACAGATAATTCAGTAAAGTTGAAGGATACACAACTCATAAAAATCAGTAGTATTTCTTTACGCTGACAACAAACCATTTGAAAAAGAAATTAAGAAAGCAATCCCATTAACAATAGTATTAAAAAAAATACTTGGAAGTAAATTTAACCAAGGATTTAAAAGATCTGTATACTGAAAACTAGAAAACAATGATGAAAGAAATTGTAGATAACACAGATAAATAGAAAAGTATCCCATGCTCATGGACTAGAAAAATTAATACTGTTAAAATGTCTATACTACCAAAGGAATATACAGATTAAATGAATCCCTATCAATATTCTAATGTCATTTTTCATGGAAATAAATGTTAAAAATCCTAATATTGTTAAGAAAGCACAAAAGACCTTGAAGAGTCAAAGGTATCTTGAGTGAAAAGAATAAAGCTGGAGGCATCATGTTAGCTGACTTCAAAATCTATTATAAAGCAAAGCTGTGGTAAACAAAATGGTATATTACCGGTGTAAAAACAGACACATTGGCCGATGGAACAGGGCAGAAAGCCCAGGAATAAACCCATACATATGGTCAATTTGTTTTCAACAAAGGTACAAGAATACAGAATGGAGAAAGTGCAATTTCTTTAATAAATTGTGCTGGGGAAACTAGATGTCCACATGCAGAAAAATAAAATTGGACCCTTATCTCATGCGATGCTCATGCACAAAAATCAACTCAAAATGAATTAAGACTGAAAAGTAAGCCCTAAAACTATAAAAGTAGTAGGAATAAAACATTTAGAAATGCTCCATGACATTGGTCTGGGCAAGATTTCTGTGATATGACCCCAAAAGCACAGGAACAAAAGCAAAAATAAACAAATGGGATTGCATCAAACTGAAAAGCTTCCGCACAGCAAAAGAAACATTAAAGAAACAACACATGGCTTGGGATAAAATATTTGCAAACTATATACCTGACAAGGAGCTAATATTCAAACTACATAAGAAATTCAACTTAGTAGCAAGAAAACAGCTCAATAAAAAATGGGCAAAGGACCTAAATAAACACTCTCAAAAAAGGACACATGCATGGCCAATAGATACATTAAAAATTGCTCATCATCACTGATTATCAGGAAAATGCAAATTAAAACTATAATGAAATCCTATCTCACAGAAGTCAGAATGGCTATTATCAAAATGATGAAAGATAAGTACTGGTGACGGTGTGAAGTAAAAGGAACCCTTATGCTCTGTTGGCATGACTATAAATTAATACAACCATTATGGAGAACAATATGGAGCCTCCTCAGAACACTAAGCATTGAACTACCATAAAACCCAGCCACCCCACTCTAGGTACATAGCCAAAGGAATTGAAATCGGTATGCTAAAGAGATATCTTCACTCATGTTCCTTGCAACATTATTCACAATCACTAAGATGTGGAAGCAATTTTGGTGTCCATCATCAGAGGAATGGAAAAAGGAAACGTGGTATTTACCCGCAATGAAAAACGACTCAGCTTTGAAAAGGGGGAAAGTTCTGTTACTAGTGACAACATGGATAAACCTGGATGATATTATGCTAGATGAAATATGCCAGGCACAAGACAAATACTGTGTCATCTCATTTCTAGATTGTGAAAGAAAACAGATTCTTGGAACCCAGGCTCACTATACCGGAGGGAAAGTTAAGATTGGGAACTGAATCACACAAAAAACTGCCTTTGTTTCTTTTCCCCATCAAACAGATAGCTGCAATGATAGAAGGACACATCTGTCCCCTATGCCCTACTTCACAAATTGCTCACAATTCCTTGTGGGCCCCAGCAATATATATATATATATATATATATATGGACCTACAAAATAGCCTGAGTACAGAGCTTTGCTGAATCTCACCCTAAAGATATAAATTAACAACTTATATCTTCACAGACAGGGGACAAGGACAAGACTAGAAAATCATCCCTCTGCCCACCCTGAGACAAACGTATAACTGACTTTATTTTATCTTAAGTAAAATGTAGATTTACTGAATATAAGAGGAATGAATAATTGGCTATTCCTCTTTTCCTTTTCACATATAAAATGTAGATTCACTGAGCATTAATGAAAGCCTCACTATGTGACCACTTGCCTCACTACCTGCCCTCCCCCCTCTTTCTTTCTCTTCTCTTCCCCTCCTCCTCACTCTTTCCCTTTCACATACTGGAGTCCTAAAAACCCTCTTTGGAAAAGGCAGAGATCACAGATGCTCCTCTGATTTGTGTTTTTTCCCAGGTGCGGCCTCAACCTTGGCAAAATAAACATCTAAATCAATTGAGACCTGCCTCGGTCATTTTTTTTTTTTTGGCTTACATTTGTGGAATCTAAAAGAGTCAAACTCAGAAGTAGAGGGCAGGATGATAGTTATCAGAGGGTGGGGGAGGGAAAGTTTAGGGAAATGGGAGATGCTCATCAAAGGGTACAAGTTTCCGTTAGCCAAGATGAATAAGCTTTGGTAAGCTACTGAGCAGAATGGTCACTATAGAATAGTGCATTGTAGATTCCAAAATGGCTAAAAGAGGAAATTGTAAATGTTTTTACCACATATACAAAATAAGTATGTGAGGCGATAGATTTGTTAATTAGCCAGATTTAATCATTCCATAATGCAAGCATATATCAAAACATCACATTGTACCCCATAAGCATATACAATGATTGTTTATTAAAAATATATGTATATATATATGTGTGTGTATATATGTATGTATATATGTATATATATGTATGTGTGTATATATGTATGTATATATATGTATGTGTGTGTATATATATGTGTGTGTATATATACATACATATATATATATATAGAGAGAGAGAGAGAGAGAGAGAGACAGAGAGACAGAGAGACAGAGAGATATGAAATCTTACTCCATCACCCAGGCTGGAGTGCAGTGGTGCGATTTTGACTCACTGCATCCTCCACTCCCCAGGTTCAAGAAATTCTCCTGCCTCAGCCTCCCGGTAGTCAGGTTTACAGGCACCCACTACCACACCTGGCTAACTTTTGTATTTTTCGTAGAGTAGGTGTTTCATCATCTTGTCCAGGCTGATCTTGAACTCCTGACCTCATGATCCACCCACCTCAGCCTCCCAAAGTGCTGGGATTACAGGCGTGAGCCACTATGCCCAGCCACTAAAAATATTTTTTTAATGCTCCTTTATTAAAAGGTAGAAATAATAGTGTATAAAATTTATTTTCCTAAAAGAAACTACCAGCAGTTTGTAAGTCTACCTCAAGTGCTTAAATGTCTTAATAAAACAAGCAATTGCATTCCTAAGAAAGGAATTTAGGCTAATATTTACATAGAGTTTCTCTGTCTTAGTGAAAAGGAACAGAAAGAAAGAGAAAATCCTAGACATTTATTTATATATATCAGGCCTTTATTCTGTGCTTCAAGGAAGCAGCTTCCCCTTCGGTTGGTGTTGTCCCCCCTCCAGAGCTGTTCTTTCAATGAATACTATTTCGGGCTTTCTCTCTCCTCAATTTCATAAGGCACAAAGTTCTTGTTAAATCTGCCCCCTTCATGTAAAGCTGAAATACAAATTAAAATTGCATATCTTTCCAAAGAAGGTTTTGGGAATAGAGAACATGTTATTTTGGGCAATTGCCCTCCCAGATCTTCTGGCATCTCACATAGGTTAATTATGGTAAAATGTGACAATGATCAATACATTTGTTCCAACTGAAAAGAGGCAGTGTCAATGAGGGAGCTGGCAGGGAAGAGGAAGTTACTTCTGAAAGGAGCATTGCTTTGCATAGTTCTAAGCAAATAGGTCCTCTGGTTCAGAGGCTGAAACACACATATTGTACTCCAATTTCAGAGCTGTTTTCTCATTTAGGTTTTGATAATGAGATTTCAAACCCCACAGAGGTGTTGGTGAGACAGACATCTGGCAAAGCTGATCATTTTTAATTTAATTTGTGCAGTGAGCAGACTAAGAGCCTACCTTTTGTCCCTGTACATCTGTGGTGATGTGGTCAGTTTCCCCATCCTCAATCTCCCCCATCTTCACGACACTGACTTCTATGGTGCCAACCACTTTGCCACCATCTGAAGTTCTGCAACAAAAATACATGAAATTGAATGGTAAGAAGCTTCTGTCTCCCCCAGAAATATCCAAAACACATTTGTTTCTGAAAACCACAAGCATTGCTATTTACTTAATAAGGCAAAATCTGGACAAAACACAGCAAGACATGTTAATAGGGTAGGTTTTGTTTTTAATTTGAATTGAAAATTATCTATGGATGTGTGAGGTAAGAGCATGGACTGTTTAAAAGTATCTCAGGAAGATGAAACCTCCTAAATGTTCTCAGAGGTACCCTCAAGGAAAGAACATTGTGCCATAGATCAATATCCTATTTGAAACCATCGAATCTAAAACAGCCCATCAATACCAACTGCATGAGATACTGCATGTGTCTATCACAGAAACTATGGAGTAAAAGAGAAGAGAGTATAAACATTCTTATCTTCCTCTATGACTGGGCTATTGGCTACAAAATCTGACTTTGTGCCTTTTCTCTAACATTTTTCTTTACAGCCTATTAAGTAAAAATGATTCTCTCCTAGCAAACATAAGAACATGTAAAGCAGAACATAACCCAAAGCTCATTTAGTACGGCTCCTCACTTTTTCAGATAAAAAAACTGAGACTCACAAAGATGGAAAGACCCTTCCAAGGTAACGGAGTGGCAAATTCAGGTTTCTGTCTTCTCTGAGTCATCAATAACTCTTCTACATTTGATGATAATAATATAAGATTTTCATCATTATTATTTTTAGCAGTATAAAAATTTTATGTTTGGCAATAATAACGAAAGCCAAAGATAAGTTTAAGAACCACACTGTAAGATTCTCTAGTTTCCTTTTCTGAGCAAGAAAAACTACAGAATAAATAGTATCATTATACCATGGAAACATTGTGACATATAATTATATTTTCCCTGGAGTCTTTTGTGAAAATAGGTAGCAAGCCACCTCGTAGATAAGATGTGTTGCTGTAACTTCTATTTACACACAATTGTCTGTATTCTACTTAAGCACAATTGTCTGAACAAGTACTCATCTGACATCTCATTTTCCTTATTAGTCACATCTTTTATGAAATTTATTTTCAACTTTTAGCTGAACACCAATGATGTCTTTCTTTTAACTAATTCCTTCTAAATGCTGCTCTTTTTTAATTAAAAGTGTCAGAAAGGAGCAGGGGGATTTCTATGAGTAGTTTACCAAAATACTAATTAAAATATCATTATTTATCATTATTAAGTGAAAAGAAAAACTGATTCTATTACTAGATAAGGTACAAATTAAAACACAACTTTGAACTATATTTTTAAGAAAATTAAAGGAGAAAATTTCTGATGGCATGTACACAGCTAATGTCATAGTGCAACAAAGATAATTAAAATAGAAAAAGGAAAGTGATTTATTGTTAAATAGATTTTTTACTAAAATATGAAGTGAAATGGTTCTTGGTGATTTTGGAATTAATGGAAATTATAATGTTGACTCAGTTGTTTGAAATTAATATAGAAACCAAGTATTCATCACAAACAAGATGTATAGACAGGTGACAGTATGATCTGTGATGTTTTAGAAAACTATATTAGCTCCAATTCTGGGATGGCTTTAAATAATTCATTATGTCATTTTTTCAGTGTGTCATATTCTCATTTAAATATGACATAATAACTTGTCATAAGTCATGGTGTGGCATGTTTCTGTACAATTCTTCAGTAACTAGTAGTTAAATAAAGCATATAATAAGGACCTTCATGGATACTACTTAAAAATTAATTTGGTAGATATTTGTAGATTTCTTTTTCACCAAAATTGCTTATCTATAAAAAAATAAACATACATTTTTCTTCTCAAAAGACTTGTTTAAAACTTTTTATTTGGGCAAACTAAGTTATTTTCATTTCTAGAAGCACAAGGCCTACATATGACTGTCTAAATTTGTTCACTAATCTAATCCAAATAATGCACCTAATGATTTGAAACAGAAAGGTTGTGTAATAAACTGTATATGTCATAATGGTGGAAAGTGTGAACTCAAGAGTTTGACTTATCTGTTAGCTGTGTGACTTTGGGAAAGTCATTTACCCACATGAATCTTTAATTTTCTCATTTGTAAATGGAGATGACAGTAGCCTTGTTTTAAGAATTAAATTATGGGAGTTGATTAATAGGAAGTGCTAAACACAATGTCTTACACAAGATAACTACCACTCCACCCCATCATCCTAGTAGCAGTATTGGTACAATAGCAGTAGCAGCAAAAACAGAATTGCTACTGTCATTAATGTATTAAATTATATTTAATCTGATTATCTCAAGAAACTTTACTGAAACCAATATCCAAGACTACAGTAAAAGGCTCTAGGATCTCATGGCATATGCATCTCAACGGTGATTAAATGGTCACTGGGGATACAAAGATTTTGTTTTTTCGTTGTTTGTTGTTGTTGTTGTTGGTTTGTTTCGTTTTTTAGATGGAGTCTTGCACTGTCATCCAGGCTGGAGTGCAGTGGCACAATCCTGGCTCACTGCAACCTCCGCCTCTTGGGTTCAAGTGATTCTCCTGCCTCAGCTTCCTGAGTAGCTGGGACTACAGGCGCACGCCACCATGCCCAGCTAATTTTTTTTTTTTTTCAGTAGAGACAGGGTTAGCCAGGATGGTCTCAATCTCCTGACCTCGTGATCTGCCCATCTCGGCCTCTCAAAGTGCTGGGATTACATGCGTGAGCAACCGTGACCTGCCAAGACTTTGTAATAAGAGGATTTTACGATGTTTACATTCCTAGTAATGCAGAGAACACAAATTTGCTATTTATAATGCAAGTGAATCCTTCTAAAATACTAAAGTATATGAATAATCAATGAACTATGGGAGTGAACTTTGGAACTACATTTCTATCTATTCCCTTTTTTAAAGTATGTGGCTCCTTTTTCAATGATTTTCCTTCCTTTTGGGTTTCCTATTTTTCCTTGTTTTCCACAGGCTTCCACTTAGTGCGTGAGTAGAATCAAAGCAAGAAATATGATTAATTTAGTGACAGTATAGAATTCTGGCATGACTGTTTTCCCAAAACCATTTTGGCAGCTTTTTTGCATGCCCTGAAGCATGTTTCCTCAATTGAACTTTATGAAAAATGCAGAATGGTGAAACCAGGTTTTAAACTAAAGAACTAAACCCAAGACATCCAAAAGTATGGTTCACCCTGTCATGGAACTAGAACGTAAAATGTAGGAGCCATTTCCTATTCATTCTGTTATAATTTACTATATGGAGAATACAGATATCCACATTTCTTTTCAATTAGAAGAGTCACAAATGAAATATCTATTTCATATTTCCAAAGATGTTTTCAAAGATGACTTAAAGATTTAGAAAAAAAATTCTTAAATGGTAAATTATGCTTCCAAGTTATCACTTATTAATTGGAAAGGCTAGTAATAATAGCTTAATCATTATTCATCACTGAAATTCTACTAAATGTTATCTTATGGAAATTCATCACATCTGCATAGAAGATATATTAAAGAGAGTTCTGTGCTAGATATCAAGAAATCCAGGTTCTATTTCCCACTCAGCCACTAGGTGCATATCACTTCAGTTCTCTGGATTTCAGCTTCCATTACTGCAAAACAAAGTGTTGGTTTCTAAAGTCTCTTTCATACTGTTAGGACTCAAATCTCAGGCTCTAATCACTTCTGCGATTCCATCATAGACCATCACAGACTGATATGGACGCAAGAAAAATCTCAGGTCAATTCTAGCCTCTCTTCCTCACTCCACACCTTCCCATTCCACTTTCTGCCAAAACAAACCAAATACATGCTAAATCTGGAGAGTAATTTAGCATTTATAGCCAAATTTAAAAAAAGGGCTGGCTTTTCTTACAATATCATATTTTATATTATATATATATATATCATATAGATGTATACAGCAATATGACATTGGATCTTGGTATGTTTGCAAGGATACAAATTTGATTGAACCAAAAACAGAATTATCTTCATACTCTTACCTTTCCTAGCAATTCATGTGGCAATAAGATGGGGCTGCAGTGATCAATATCTCAATCTACTTAAGGAAAAAAACCAGGTTATTTCAGACAGTGGGTATTGCCAGGTCATCACCACTGTTTAATGCAGAAAGCAGAGACAGAAGTAAAAGAAAAGCAGTTCATGGCTGCTACAGTATTTTGATCACAATGTCAAGTTTCTCTTTCCCTCGGAAGATAGTCTTAAATATTTAACCACAACAAAACGACGTGGAAGACAAAGATGGGGAAAATTTCAGCAATACAAATCTACACTCCCTTCTTACCTAAGTTTTCAGCATACATAATATATTGGTCACCAAAGTTCTTTAAAATCTGCCTTTAAAATGACTGCCCTAATACTTCCTAATGAAATATTCAATCTCACATGCTGCAACACATAAATATTTTTAGAAGACTAAAGGAAAGGGAATGTAAAACAGTCTTCTAACAAAAGACAATTTAATGACACTTTTTATAAACTTCTATCTCACCTATTCTGCCAAAGTTAATAGAGGGAAAAAAAGAAAAATGAAAAACACCTCCAGAAATGTGAAACAGCAAAATGAAAATAACTTCTCGATTTTGGAAATGCCACAGAGATACAAACCAACAAATGGCTCTGTAAACATCCAGGGACAAACCATCATTAGCACTGTCAGTCTTTGTGAATATAAAGTAGTCCTGGTATTACACACAGGAATCTTCAGCTGGGAGACATGCCTTGCATTTAAACCATCTAGACATGTAACCAGAAATGAAAATCTCACCCAAACATAAAAATAAACAAGGGCCATAAGTAAACAAACAGATTCACTGAGTGAGTGCACCCTGATGATCTTTCTGGTGAATACAATTATACATCAGTGCCAGATGTATTTAGGGCCCACAGAAGTTGGATTTATATTTAAGTATGTATAACTAAACACACCTCTATCTGGCTAAAATTCACAAATGTCAGAAGCCATATAATGCTTTCAAATTAATAGTAAAGTAAAACT